CAAAAATCATTAAATTGAATAACCCAACACCAAGAAATTTGAGCTCAAAGTTCAATGTTTGAGCTCATTTTACTCATTGATTAAATATCTTTCTTTTAGAATTCTTTTCACCGTTCAATCTGTCTCTAAATCCGTTAAACGAGTGCTGGATTATTATGTAAAAGAAGGTTTTGTGAAAATCCATCAATGGCCTCTGCTTCCATTTAGTTTAACGGCGAGTTTTGGGAATAACTTAAAAATAGAGATTACAGTAATTTTCGAAAGTTATGTTTTAGAAATTATGCTTTAGAAAATGCATATTCTATGCAAATCTTATTTATTTATTAAATTACAGTATAATCCAAATGACCGTGTCTATTACGTGAGTCACAATTTGGAGACGCAGCACTGTCTTTTTTGGTCGGACAGCAAGTACACTTTTGAAGGGGATGTTGATGATTTCTTATACATTAGGTACTATTTAAATATCAATGAAGTCAAGTAATTAAACTCAAGCTTCTTAGGAACTCGTCATCGTCTTTCTTTGACTACTTTGAGTTATGGTTTCAGAAGAAAAGAAATCTGGGTGAGTTATTTGGTGAGAGACAAGGGACTCAGACCGTTATATCAGTTTTGTAGAAGAAAACGGACAAATTTAAGGCCCGGCAATCGATTCGCCGATCTCGAAAATTCCCGAGTACAAATTTCGAGCTCTTTTTTATATTAAGCTGTCCAGAAAGTCTTTTCATTCCTTTTCGTACTTGAAAATTAATAAATTCACTAATTCCGGGGTGGTCCTACGGGTGGTCCGTACGGGGTGGTCCGTAGGTGGTCCGTACGGGGTGGTCCGTACGGGGTGGTCCGTACGGGTGGTCCGTACGGGGTGGTCCGTACGGGGTGGTCCGTACGGGGTGGTCCGTACGGGGTGGTCCGTACGGGGTGGTCCGTACGGGTGGTCCTACGGGTGGTCCGACGGGGTGGTCCGTACGGGGTGGTCCGTACGGGGTGGTCCGTACGGGGTGGTCCGTACGGGGTGGTCCGTACGGGGTGGTCCGACGGGGTGGTCCGTACGGGGTGGTCCGTACGGGGTGGTCCGTACGGGGGTGGTCCGTACGGGTGGTCCGTACGGGGTGGTCCGTACGGGGGGTCCGTACGGGGTGGTCCGTAGGGGGGTCCGGGGGGGGTCCGCGGGGGGCTGGGGCCAGGGTGGTCCCGGGGTCCGTACGGGGGGTCCGTAGGGGCCGACGGGGTGGTCCGTAGGGGTGGTCCGTCGGGGTGGTCCGTACGGGGTGGTCCTGGGGTGGTCCGTACGGGGTGGTCCGTACGGGGTGGTCCGTACGGGGTGGTCCGTACGGGAAGAAGCGATAAACGATTGAGCTTCAAACAAAGACACGGGATTGTTTTTCGAACATTGTAAAGAGAAGCCGCCGATACTATCTACAACGACGTCAACAAATGGGAAGATAAAGTATTGCAAGGACTCTTGGATGAATTCGAGCTAAAAGATGTATACAATCTTGATGAGCCAGGGCTTTTTTTGAAAGCTCACTCCCAACAAGACCAGGAGAACGAGGCACAAACGGGAAAAAGAGGAGAACGATGCACAAGCGGCAAAAAGAGGGGGAGGGAGAAAAGCGTAAAAGAACGAGTCACTGTTCTTGTTGGATCAAATATGGATGAATCAGAAAATATCCTTTTCTCGTGATCGGCTAATCGAAGAAACCACGGTGCTTTAAAAATGCAAAACTGTCGGTGCTCTACGACGCCAACTCAAAGGCTTGGATGACGCGCGAATTATTTGAGGGTTACCTAAAGAAATGGAATTTTGCTCAAGCACAACAGGAAGATTTGGCTTTTCTTCGCGCTTTGGGCGTCACTATGCCCAAATCGAAGGAAGCTATGCCCAATTTTTGTCACTATGCCGTCACTATGCTCAATTTTTCCCTTTAATTTGGCTGTATTTTTGGTACAAATTCAATATCCTGTTAAAGTATTGTTAAACATGAGCTAAACTAAGAGGAAAGTGCGATCTTACTCGAGACTTGTAAGAAGATGTATTTATTTTTCCTAGATTGATCAACTGATCCATTTCCAGGTGCTCTCTCATTCCCTCATGTCGGTTTGGCGTTTCGACCGCGAATCATCGAGAAACCCTACAAATATGAGAATGTTTTGAAATTCGATGCTCTGCGAAAACCGAAAGTTTTCTCTTATCCAAGATTTCCAAAGGTACTATGGAAGATGAGTATTCAGAGTGTTAAATTTTAAATCAATCACACCAAATTTGTAGTTTAGCCAATTTGAAGCAGCCATGCTCTAGAATGAAGAGTTTTGATGTTAAAAGTTTAGAGTGTATTTCTCACCGAGTACGTGAAGAGTAGCTGGATTCACTATCCAAGGAAGTATTTTGGTGGGAAGAAGCTATATAATGTGAGTTGGGATTTGGATATAAGGGTAAGCCAGGTTAAACCTGGCTCTAGTGGCTATGGGGCTCTTAAACTTGTGCCCGATAGAATTGTGTTTATTGTATTTTGAAAAGTTCAGTTATTGTAGCTTCTAGGTGCCATTAAAGGAAGGGCTTCACCTTCATGCGCGAATGAATTTCGACTTTGAGGGAATAAAGGACGAGACGCCGACTCCATATCCGGATGTGCTTCAGTCGCTTTTCATATTCAAGAAACGTATCGATGCTTTAGATCTAGTGGCTCTTTGCCGTAAGTAATTGGCTTATTGATTTCAGTATGTATTGTATGATTAAGTATCACTGTGCATTTCTCTATGATCTCTTTCACTTTATCGTTTGAATAAAGTATTATTATTTATTTTATATTCTCAATCTGTCATTTCCGATTTGTTTGATTCGGCTTTTCACTAAAAAAGCATACAAACGTTGTTTCCTTTCTTCTTTTATTCCAAATTATGAGACTAGACTTGTAGGTTTTGATTTTTAAAAAAAACCCTTTTATATCGCCGTATTTACTTTGCTCTTATTTTTTTGCTATAAAATTCTTTTCCACCCTAAGTCGCATCCAGAATTTGCAAAACCTCTTGAAAATTGTGGAAGTACACGTAGTTCTAGAAATAAACGTAGTGATCCTTATCAAATTTTGGTCGGTTCTCATCCCCCGTCATCTTTCCCTTTATCATCCTTTTGCGAACCGTATTAGTAGGGTTTGGAATCAGCTCCCGTCTGGTATCTTCTCGTCTGTAGGAAAATTGAAAGTATGTATAAACGAATTAGATCTTATTGCCATGTCAAATCTACCTTATATTTAATCTTTTTGTACCTGGGTTTCTTAACTATCGTCTTACTGTACCATTTTTGGTTTTCTTTCTTTTTTTTTGTGAAAGTGTCTATGTCACCTGACATAGGTGACATAGACATAGAGCCTGTCAGGCCTTTGGAATGCCTCTCCTTTCTGATCCCTCACAAAGTTTGAAATCACACTCTTGAAAATTGTGAAAATTTCTGGAAGTAAACGTAGTGATCCTTATCAAATTTCGGTCGATTTCCATCTCCATCATCTTTTCCTTTATCATTCTTTTTACGAACCGTATTTGTAGGATTTGAAATAATATTTTAAATAGTTTGTTCGTTCGTTTCGCTTACAGATAAATGAATTTTCCTACAGACGAGAAGCTCCCGTCTGGTGTCTGTAGGAAAATTGAAAGTATCTATAAACGAATTAGATCTTATTGCCATGTCAAATCTGCTCTATTCGTTAATCTTTTTGTACCTGTGTTTCGTAACTGTAGTCTTACTGTACTATTTTTAGTTTTCTTCCTTTTTGCGAAAGTATTTTAGCAATATGTTATATGCGGTTATGATTATCTGATTTGATTCTACTCGCCCCTGAATAAAGCAGATATATATATATTCCGTATTTTCTCTAATAGTAGTGCACCCAAGCGAGCCGAGTTGATGACTATTTACGGCTTCCAAAGTTTTCCCAGAAGCTCAACACTCAAATCCCCCACTAGATCTCATCGTCAGCTACATTTTCCGACCCCACATCGATAAATTCTGATAAGCGGTTCTCGAGATTTCGAGGAATTTAGGCGAAGCTTTTGGTGCACTACTATTAGAGAGAATACGGTATGTCAAGTTTAAGAAGTATGATTTAACAACTAATCATTGAAGATCAAAAAGAGATACAAAATGACCTTAAACCCTTAAACAGTACGCTAACTTATAGATAAATACTCTAAATCTTTTCTTTTCCTGTTCTAAACAATGTTTCATTTAGAATTGAGAAAGAGAAAGCTAAAGAGAATCAATAAAAGTAAGAAATAGACATTAAACATTTCTCTTTGATTTCCCGCTTTACAAGAAGATCAATTAGTGTCTTTTGGGTGTTTATCAGAAAATCGGGAATATTTAGAGAAAAGGGGAATTGAGGGAATGAGGGAATGAGGGAATGGAGGAAGCGTGCTGTTCCCCGTCCCACCATCGCCTCCCCTCCACTCCCCAATCACTCCATATGCATTTATTTCCCCATTTCCCTATTTCCCTATTTTCCTCACTAATTTCGAGAGATTAAGTGCCTTTCGATCCTTTTTAACCTTCAATACTCCATTGTTAACCTTCAATACTCCATTGTTAACCTTCAATACTCCATTGATACTCCATTGTTCTCGAAATAATTCGACTAAAACCCTTTAAGCACTCATTGAATCGATGTGTATTCCATTTGAAACCATTTTTTTTTCTTTCATCAAAGAATTTCATTAAATCTAAAGCTCTTTACAATTTCGATTTTTATATTGTATCTTTGTAATGTTCTAGAGCTACTTGTAGAACAGTATCGATACTTTAAATTTGACAATTTCTCTACTTTCAGTTTATTCTTTTAATTATCTATTGAGATAAGGCAAAGATTTTAGTATATCTTGAATCTATTTTGATTCTATTTTGAATCTATTTTGAATCTTGAATTTGAATCTTGAATTTGAATCTATTTTGAATCTATTTTGAATTTATTTTGAATTTAAATTCTCTTAAAGTTTTCCTTTTCAGGGTGATGCAAATCGTGGAACGATGCGCAACTTATGGAAGTCGTTTCTATTGTGTCAGAGATGGGGTCACTGATGAACAGGTGAATAGAGAAATAAGGCATAAAGTCCCCCCGGACAGCGAGAGAAAAACTGTCGGTCTAGGTCATTGGTAGGGTGTTCGGCCGGTAGGCCTGCTGGGCCGCTAGAGCTCCTGGGTTCGAGTCCGGCACTAACCATTCCGTTGTCGAAATGATATTTTTTGCCTTCATTTTTTTGATTTTTGAAGACCAAACTCGATTTCAGTTGACAATCGCCGTGAACAGTCGCGGCATTTTCGTCTACAATGTCGGCGATTTCTTGGAGCCCGTTCAAGTGAGTGCTTCAAAAAGGGGATTGTGTTTTGAAAGAACAAAAATACTCTAAAGATACAGTACAGAAATTTGCATAGCTTTATTATTAAAATGGGGAGATTTAAAAAGGCTACAATCGCTTTTATAATTTGGCAAGTGACTGTAGAATACCAAAAAAAAAAGACTGACTTTTCGAGTTCCCAAAAAGTTTCCCATTCGGAATGTTTCATCGGCGAATTTTTTGCCATTGAAAAACTTTTCCACCCTCCGACTTTTCTTTATGATTCACAGAGAGAGAGAATAGGTCTTTTTTTTCTCCATTTTATCGGCCAGGATTTGAATTGAGTAAAGATTTTGATCGCAACATCGTAGTTAAAAAGACAAATACCCCGAAAAAAAACAGACTTTTCGAGTTCCCCAAAAAGTTTAACGTACTGTACTGTACTGTACTGTACATGTGCAGTAAAGTACGGTAAATACTATGTAAAAAGAAAGTCTATTTCACTGCAGTCTTTTGAATAGAAAATGCACAATTGTTACGGTTTGAACGGTCAATTTTCAATTTAAGTTTTAAATAAATAAATATGCTTTAGATTTTAGCTAATTTTAGCTTATAAATTAGCTAATTTTAGCTAGATTTCACTAATTTCAGCTAGATTTCACTAATTTCAGCTAGATTTCACTAATTTCAGCTAGATTTCACTAATTTTAGCTAAATTTTAGCTTATTTTAACGAATTTTAGCTAGATTTTCGATTATTTTAGTTAAAATAAGCTAAATCTAGCTAAAATAAGCTAAATTTAGTTAAAATCTAGCTAAAATTAGCTAATAATAAAGCAAATTCGTTAAAATAAGCTAAAGTCTAGCTAAAATAAGCTAAAATTTTGACCTATTTTGCTTAAAATTTAGTGGCTCGAGTGGAAAGACTTTAGCTTTAGCTTATTTTAGCTAGAGTTTAGCTTATTTTATCTAATTTGCTTTATTATTAGCTAATTTTAGCTAGATTTTAACTAAATTTAGCTAAATTTAGCTTATTTTAGCTTATTTTAGCTTATTTTAGCTTATTTTAGCTTATTTTAGCTTATTTTAGCTTATTTTAACTTATTTTAGCTTATTTTAACTTATTTTAGCTTATTTTAACTTATTTTAGCTTATTTTAACTTATTTTAGCTTATTTTAACTTATTTTAGCTTATTTTAACTTATTTTACCTTATTTTACCTTATTTTACCTTATTTTACCTTAATTTACTTAAAATTTAGTGGTTCGAGTGGAAAGATTTGGACAATTTATTCTACAAAGAGACTGAATTCATTTTGGGATTAAAACAAAGAAAAATGATGGGAAATCGACCGAATTCTTGTTTAATAACAAGTGAAAAAGATGTCGAATTGCAGAAAGCTGTCAATGATCCAACAACGAAGTGAGTTCGAAAGTTTCAAAGCATTCAAAGCATTATAAATTCAAAAGCAAATCCTTCTAGCTACTCTATCCCATTGCCGAAAGGGTAGAGCCTTACTATAACTAGCCTATCGAACTTGGCTTTAGTACAGAACAGAACAGAAAACAGTACAGACTCAATTCTTGATCTTTCTTTCTTTCTTACTTTCTTTCTTTCTTTCTATCTTTCTATCTCTCTTTCCCCTTGTCTTCTTTCTCTTGTCAAGTTAAGGCACCGGATAGCTCAGTGGTTAGAGCAGAGCTCGGATAGCTCAGACTCAATTCTTGACCTTCCTTTCTTTCTCTTCTTCCTTCCTTCCTTCCTTCCTTCCTTCCTTCCTTTCCCAACTCTTTCTTTTATACAATTCTTTTAAAGGTGAGAAAGAAGAAAAACGGAGAAACGAGAATTTTTTTTGTTCTGAATCATCCCCGATATGTTCTTTCTTCTTTTTTTCCTTTCTTTCTTCATATCAAATCGATCTTTTCTCTACTCAAAGTCTTTTTCTTGTACCAAACAAAGTTTTAATTTACATTTAAATGATACATAAAGGCGTAAAGAACAACAATAATTACATTCAAATCAATTTTTTTGACTAATCTTTGTATTTTTGCTAGAAGCTAAAACTAATTGAGCAATTTTTATCTTATTTTTCTTTCTCTTTTAACTCTTACTTCAAAAAAATCAAAAGAAAATTAGCAAATTGTTTCGATTTTTGTTTTTTTTTCTTCTTCGCGTTGCTAGGAAGCGGAAAAATCGCAAAAAATTCTTTAAAACAATGGAATTTGATCTGATTCGATAAACTTATGGATCTTTTATTGTTAGAAATCGTTTAAAGTTTCCCGATTTTGTTTTATGTTTATTTTTAACAACCCAAACAAGGATTTTGAAGATACGATGATCCATGATTTGATTTATTCATAGAGAATTTCAGATTCAACTCGGTTCAACGACGCGGTCGATTGCCGATTTCTTCCCAACAACTTTCACAAGGGGTTAGTGAAAAGAAAGAAGAAAAAGAATATACCGTATTTACTCTATTAGTGGGGTCCTCTCTAATAGTGGGGTCCTCTCTAATAGTGGGGTCGTCTGGAGGGGGGTTGAAAAAATAGTGGGGTCCTCTCTAATATTGGTAGCGAAAGTGATACATCAATTGTTGATCTCTTGGATTAGTTCTTTTACTGTTTGTTAATGTTTTGTTACGGTTAAAGCTAAATAAAATATGAAGCCAAACTTGTTTTGTCAAGAATTTCGGAGAAAAATTGATATCTTTTCAATTTAAAACTTTGGTTTTATGTTCTTTTAAATTTCTCTAATAGTGGGGTCCTCTCTAATAGTGGGGTCGTCTGGAAGGGGATTGAAAAAATAGTGGGGGACCCCACTAATAGAGTAAATAAGGTAATGTGAATTTACAAGCTTTCCCAATGCTGGGTTTAAAGAATGACTTGGCTACGGTAACCATCGAACAATTCTGTCACCTGTAGAGATCACTTTCGGGATCGATCAGAGCTATTCAGAATCGACTAGAGCTATTCAGAATTGGTTAGAGCTATTTAGAATTGATTAGAGCTATTAGGAATCGACTAGAACTATTCAGAATTGATTAGAGCTATTAGAAATCGACTAAAGCTATTTAGAATCGATTAGAGCTATTCAGAATTGATTAGAGCTATTAAGAATCGACTAAAGCGATGAAGAATTGACTAGAACTATTCAGGATTGACTAGAACTATTCAGACTCGACTAAAGCTATTCAGAATCGACTAAAGCTAATCTATTAGAGCATTTTAGCAAAGAAACTTGTTCTCTAAAGCCTGAATATTGAAAGAATTGAACTCTTTAAAAAGAACTGTTTGCTAAACACAGCTAATGACTTGAACAGATCAGTAGATCAAGATAAAGTGTAACTTTTAGAAAATCTACGTAGAAATCTTTTGTATTATTCTAAAAACCAGTAGCCGATATGATTTCATTTGCAGAAAGTCGATCTATTATCTTCTTCTCGATCCTCTTCACCCACTCATCATTTCATCGATAATATTCTCTATCGTTGTGACTCTCATTCACTTTGCCGGGCATTGTGGGCAGCAGCTGTCTCTCAACACAAGTTCTACCTCACTAAGGTTGGTATAATCAACATTTAAATTCACAGCTTGTATTTTTTATGTAAAACTTGTTGATTTCTAAGATTCTTTGATCATATTTCTCTCTAATATCTCTCTAATGACTTGAACAGATCTAATGAATTGAATAGATCTAATGGCTTGAACAGATCTAATGACTTGAATAGATCTAATGACTTGAATAGATCTAATGACGGAACAGATCTAATGACTTGAACAGATCTAATGACTTGAATAGATCTAATGACGGAACAGATCTAATGACTTGAACAGATCTAATGACTTGAATAGATCTAATGACGGAACAGATCTAATGACTTCAAGATCTAATGACGGAACAGATCTAATGACTTGAACAGATCTAATGACTTCAAGATCTAATGACTTGAACAGATCTAATGACTTGAACAAATCTAATAACTTGAACAGATCAGTAGATCTCTAATGACTTGAACAGATCAGTAGATCAAGATAAAGTGTAATGTTTCTTTCAAAACCCAAGTCCATTTAAGGGATGAGTTGGGTGAAAGGAAAAGATTTTCCCATGAGACGCTCTTAAGAAAAAATGGGGTAAAGTCTTCGAAAAACATTGTTATCCTTTGCAAGTCATTCTTTCTTTTCATTTCTTTTTCGAAGTGTTGAGAAAACAAAGATTTTAAAGTGTTGAGAAAACAAAGATCTTGTTGTAAAATCTTGTTCTGATCTGTTTTTCTTAAAACTTTTTGATTTGATTTTTATTTATTCTAATAATTTCTTAAAAAGAATTAAAATTTTGATAGAATATTTGAACTAGAGTGTGTTCCTTGCAAAAAAAAATGCGTTTTCTAAAAAGCTCTCGCCAAATATAAGCTACCGTAACCCTATGCTTTGCATAAGCGAATTTTTTCAAATACAAATGTACATTAAATCGAAAATTGAATCGAAATTAAAAACTTGGCAATCGACCGCGTCGTTGAACCTTTTAAAAATACATTTATTGAAAACCAATAATGTGATACAAACAAAGGGTACATAATAAGACATAAAGGTTAAACACACAATTTTATGGCACTTTTCTACTACTCTTTCATTAACTTTTTCTTTTTTTCAAACAGTTTAAATTTTGAACTGATTCTAACACATTTACAATTGGGAAAATTCGATTTCTGAATTGGGAATTAGCTTAGAAATTTGATTAGAAGATAGAAAAGTTTGGAAAACTGGCAGGCTAAAGAGGCAGGCTAAAGTTAGCTCTGACTTCTTGACTTCTTCTTCATTGACCATCTCCGTTCAATCAGCCGATTGATCAGTATCCTCGAAGTGTGGCGATTTCGTAAAGAGAAACTTTCACTGGTTGGTGGGATGGGAAAAGAGGGATCTCATAGTGAGAAAAAGAAAGAAAAGAAAGAAAGAAAAATGATGTTTGTTAGGCGATAAATCTTCTCCTTTCCTCCGCATCTCATCCACCGATTTTCCTCTTCCCAAATTTCTCACCCATTTTGTTTTGTGTTTGTACGCTAGGAAAGTTGAGGTTTTTTTTCTTTGAGGCTTCTTTACACGTTTAATTTTCTTGCAGAAAACTTTCCAGAAAACTTGCAAAAAGTTTGATTGATGTTTTATGAAAAATCAACTTATTTTGTTAGTTTTTTATTGATTAAGAAAACTTTTCGGCTTAGTTTTCTAATCAGATTTCTCATTTTTGATCGTTTTAATGGAAAGTTAAGTTTTCATTTTAGCAAAGAAAGCTCACTTTAGTGATTTCAATCTTTAAAAGATAAGCTTTCACTAAAAAGTTTCCTCGGAATTACTTTTAATTGTTCAAAAATTCTTTTTTCCTCGATTCTTTTTTCCTTCTTCGATTTTCCCAAGCTGTGCTGATAGCTGTACTAATAGCTGTACTGATAGCTGTGCTGATAGCCAGCTCTTCTTTGAGCTCTATAGCTGATAGCTGTACTGATAGCTGTACTGATAGCTGTACTGATAGCTGTGCTGATCGCTGTGCTGATAGCTGTGCTGATAGCCAGCTCTTCTTTGAGCTCTATAGCTGATAGCTGTACTGATAGCTGTACTGATAGCTGTACTGATAGCTGTGCTGATCGCTGTGCTGATAGCTGTGCTGATAGCCAGCTCTTCTTTGAGCTCTATAGCTGATAGCTGTACTGATCGCTGTGCTGATAGCTGTGCTGATAGCTGTGCTGATAGCTGTGCTGATAGCTGTGCTGATAGCTGTGCTGATAGCCAGCTCTTCTTTGAGCTCTATAGCTGATAGCTGTACTGATCGCTGTGCTGATAGCTGTGCTGATAGCTGTGCTGATAGCTGTGCTGATAGCTGTGCTGATAGCTGTGCTGATAGCCAGCTCTTCTTTGAGCTCTATAGCTGATAGCTGTACTGATCGCTGTGCTGATAGCTGTGCTGATAGCTGTGCTGATAGCTGTGCTGATAGCTGTGCTGATAGCTGTGCTGATAGCCAGCTCTTCTTTGAGCTCTATAGCTGATAGCTGTACTGATCGCTGTGCTGATAGCTGTGCTGATAGCTGTGCTGATAGCTGTGCTGATAGCTGTGCTGATAGCTGTGCTGATAGCTGTGCTGATAGCCAGCTCTTCTTTGAGCTCTATAGCTGATAGCTGTACTGATCGCTGTGCTGATAGCTGTGCTGATAGCTGTGCTGATAGCTGTGCTGATAGCTGTGCTGATAGCTGTGCTGATAGCTGTGCTGATAGCCAGCTCTTCTTTGAGCTCTATAGCTGATAGCTGTACTGATAGCTGTACTGATCGCTGTACTGATAGCAGTGCTGATCGCTGTACTTAGATAAGCCTCAATTTTAATGATTCCTTACAAAGATGAAGTATAGTTAAAACTTGAAAAAGAATAGAAATCAATA